CGACGACGAACAAAAGTGGGCAAAATGGTTTACATTGTCACACAGAAAGGACATCAAACTCGTTTTGCATTAACACAGCCAACTGGTCCATCGGATCGTCCATTGCATAATGTTCCATCAGGAACTGTTGTTGATCATACGATTATTGATCCAACTTATTGTATGTTCTTTATCAACTCACATTTTTCACCATTGGTAAGCGTTCATTTCGAATATCAATCGATTTATATTATTTGAAATGTCTATTTCCTTTTTACATTATTAACAAATAATAGGGAACATCACGTCCATTGAAATACGTTGTTTTGCATAACGATTATGAACGACGACAAATGAGCATGGATGATTTGCAAAAAATTTGTTTCTATCTTTGCCATAATTGTACTCGTTATCGTGGTGGACCGATTGCAATGCCAATTCCGGTTCGTTATGCTGATCTTTGTGCTTATCGTTCGAAAATGCATCTTGAAGCACAACATGCAAGCAAACATATTCCGGCTGAAAATCAGGAAGAGTTTGAACGTCATGTTATTTCAAAATTGAACAAATTGGTAAAATTGAATGATAATATAAAAAATTCACTTTTCTATTGTTAAAAACATCATACTATCATTATATTATGTATTAATAACAAGAGATTCGAATATTAAATAAATTTAATATTTTTTTCTAAATTTTACAAATTTTCATTATACTACCTTTTCTTTTCGGTAAACATTTCCGTCCATCCAATTGTTTAGTCTACCGAATACAACCATCGATGTTTTCCTTTCGATATTATTCGGCAACAATCTTTGATCTATCCACTTCCAATTCCAATTCGACCATAATCCAATCTTCATCAACCTGTTTTGTTTTTATTTTTCGCATCCTTCCCATAATTCAGGCTGATGTTTATTTTCTTTGGATTTCCAATTCCCATGAATTATAATTTTTCCATGACAAATGATATCACATCATTTTTTTGGAGCGTTTTTACTTGTTTTTTCCATGTGATTTAGTTTACAATTGTTGGCGCCAACCATTTTTTTTTTTGTATTTTCGTGGCTATTTCGATTTATTCGCTTGTAAAGTTACATTAATTTAATTTGCTCAAAAAAGGAAATGAAACATAAACAAGTTCTTGATTTATATTAATCAAGAATAATTGAAAAATAAAATTGAATTAATCCTTATCCAAATCATTATATTTTCCCAAACTGTCAAAATGATTTAGAAATAGCTTTTTTAAAAAAACATTGGATTTTAATGAAGCATCACCACAAAAGCACACCCAACCTAATCGTTAATTAATGTACCATCAGGAAAAATAAAGTTTTTTTTATTTGTCTTCGAATAACAACAATCGAATAAAAATTATTATTTTTCATTTCATAGATTTTTTTTTTTTTTTTTTAAACTCCATTGCCGCCATCTGTTAATGAAAAACAAAAGGTTAGATTATGATGATGAAACGCGCAAACTTTAAAAAATTGCGTTTGCAAACTTCACTTTTCTATCATTGATTGATGAGGAATTGTTCGTTTTAAAAACACGAAATACAATAAATTATCAAATCATCAACCAAACCAAATCATACATCAATCAACTCTATTCATCAACAACATCATTATCCGAACCGAACAGAACATAATTTTCGACATTTTTTTTGGTTATTTCTTTAACAAAATAATTACAAATTATTAAATACATCAAGATTACATCATCGACCAATTCTTTCACAAAATGTCAAATTATAATAATTTAATGAATAGTAAAGAACTGCTAGAATTGATCGAATTGATCGATTTTATCATAATAACGTCAAACTATACTAACGCTATTAACGTGAACTTTGTTGATCCTGGACTAACCGATCAAGTTAAAAATGTAATTTCACGTTTGATTCAATATATTGAAAATGAAGAAGAAGAAAAAAAAAAATTAATCAAGAATAAAAATGATCATAAAGTTGATGATACTATCTGTGAAATTGCCACAACATCGACCAATGTTACAAATGCATCAACATCGTCCAACAATTCTACCGATTTGATGAAATATTTAATTGATATAAATACTCTCAAAAATAGAATTAAAATATTGAAGCAAAATATTCTTTCAGTATTGTCTTCGTCAATACAATCATCGATAGATGATTTAGGTGAAAAATTCGTAGCAGATGTATCCACACCACCATCTCGTCCACGATCAACAACATCATCAACATCTTCAATTTGTTCAACCAACGAAGAAGAAAGGAATGCAAAATTATTCAAAGAAAATTGGTCTGGAGCTAGTTTTGTTCCACAATCCGATTCTTCAGAAAACAATGATGTTCAAGATGAAGATGATGAAGAAAAAGAAGTAACTACCAAAGTTCGAATGGACGAAATGAATGAAGAGTTTGGAAAGAAAAATGATGAAAAGATAAAAAATGAACGAAAAGATCGAAAAGACGAACGACTTTTTTGTGCTGAAGAATTACCACCTTCACCCAAAAAAGCAAGATCATCATCACCATCAGGACCAATTCAAGAACCAGAATAAAAAAATAATTATGGTTTTAAAAATCAAAATAAAATTTGATTTTTGGCAAAAACATTTCATTTTTCAATAATCTTCAATGAATATTAATGGATAATCATTACTTATTTTGAATTTCATTCAATCTTAATCTTTTTTTTTTGTTTGTTGAATTTAAATAACTATTTTCAAATTTTAAAAATAAACTTTCTTTTAAAAATCTCTTCTCTTTTGTAATAATAATAATAATTTTATTAAAAAGCGTTTATCTGATGGATATTTACACTAAAATAAGAAAATTAAAATAAAATATAGATTACAAATATTGAATATACATACAGATAGCCTAGGATCTTCTCTTTTGTTAATCTTTTCAAATGATAATAATTTTCAAGACAATTATGAATTGTTTACAAAATATATTTCTTTTGATAGATGGGGATATTTTCTACAACAAAAAACAACAACAAATGCAATAACCGCCATCATATTCAATAACCATAAATTGGTCATCATTATCATCAACAAAGATTCCCATTTAAAAAGATAGTAAGAATTTTCTTTTCCATTTCATTTCTACCTTACCCCTTTTTTTTATAGATGTCTAGATTGTTGTTTGTTGTTGTTGTTGTTTTTCATTTCTCACGTTTGTGCTCGGGCGGTGTAATTTTTTACCCCAGACCAATTTTTTATTCTGAACATTGAAAAATATTTTATTTCATTTTATTTATTTTATCTTAATCATTTTTCGACTTTTTTATTAGCATATTTTTATATTGAAAATACAAATTCACTAAATTAAAATATTCAACTAACAATATTCAATATATTCAATTCAATGAAATTAATGTTCTAATCGATTTCCATTTCATCGTCATTATCATGTAAACAATTTTAACAGAATATTTTAGTTGCTGAGTGATCTTTACAGATGAATTTTTTGCATACATCAAAAATATTCTGAGTTTTTTTGTCTTTTTTTCTTGGACAAATGTGGCATCGTCCACTTCCATGATTTTCGATTCGTTGTTGTAGTCCTTGATTGTTGCGATCTTCTTTTTTCAAAATGAAATTAGATTTGATTCTCTCATCTGCCTAGGTAACGTAGAATTTTGATTTTGCCTCTCGATTTCCGGTTTAATAAACGCCAAAGCTAATTCTCGTAAAAAAACTTTCGATCGATGTTTTGGTTGTTATTCATACGATATAAAATCGTAGAATTTATAGCACTTATATTCAAAATATTGAAAAAAATTAGTTATCGGCCATCTTCGGCTATTTCTTATGCCTGGCTAGAGTAAAACATTATTCACAATGTTCACATTAAAATGGTTTTTCACCAGTATGTATTCGTTGATGTGTGGTCAATTCTTCTTTACGTTTAAATTTACTCCCACAACCTGGCCATTTACATTCGGAATAAGTTCATTCGTCCGCCGTCGGTTCTTCCTTTAGTTATTATCAGTTCTAAAGGAACTTCTTTTTTGTTTTTTCGAATTATTCCAAGCATTGTTAGATTCATTTGTTTTTTTTAGATATATGAACTTTCTTTATCAAATATGAAGAACACGAAATGGTTTTAGAAAGAACAACGATTTTCTTAGACCGCGCGTGATGGTGTACAGCAATCGAATGACATGCAGTGTGTTCATGTAACTAGCATGTATGTGTGTGCCAAATAGTAGAAAGCACATGGCGGAAAAGGACGTGTGAAAAGGAAACATGCTGCGGCGCGCAAGCGTTACACAAAGCGCAAGACACAAAGTTATTAATCTGAATCAATTTACAATATCTCAATCATGATTCGTAACTTTAAAGTTTGAATCAAATTTAAAACGATCTGGTGGAACACCAATATTTTTACGTTCAGATCGTCGAGAACCAGAAACAGGATCAGTAGAACAATTTGAATCAGGATTAACAGAATTAGAATTTATATTTAACGACGAAGAAGATGATGATTCAGAACCATTAGGAACAATTTTATCGTGTTATATTTCAAAAACAATGAAAATTCGTCTTGCGTTCAAACTTTATAACAAAATTTCAAAATGAATCTGTTTTTTGAATCGCTTTTTATAGCTAAATTTTGAAATAATTCGAATTTCGAACTGAATTTCCAAAACTCATCTCCATTTTTTCTGTATTCGAATTTCGAACTAAATTTCTAAAACTCATCTTTATTTTTTTTTTGTTTGGTTGGCATTTTTATCTCTGTCATCTCCGGTGCAAAAAAAAACATTCAGCCCAATAGCCCATGAAGATGTTGATAATCTAAAATGTTCATCATTATTTTTTAACGCCACTTGTTACAAAGATAATCATACTTCACACACTTTTATACAAATCTTTTTTTTTCACATCCGGAACAATTCATTTTGATTTTTTTTAAGACAATATATAGTTTTCTCACCTGATTAAGATATTTATCATTGATTCAGAAACAAACAATCAACACAGAAAGATAGATTAGAAAAAAACGATGATATGATTTTAATCGATGATAAGTGTTAAACATTTTCATTAAAAAAAATATAAAATGTTATAATTGATGGATTTAAGCACACGGAAATTTGTTTTTGTTGGAGAGAAAGAAAGAGAGAGAGAGGGAAAAAGTAATTAATGTTCAAACCAACCGATCGATCTATTGATCGATCGAATATACAGGTGGAATCGAATCATTTTACCATTATTCGATGAGTTTTAGTTTGACGATTCGTATCTTTGGTCATTTTTGTGAACAATTTTTCCCACATTCGAAAAAAAACTTGAATCGTTTGTTTGTATAAGGCTATGGCTATATGGTTAGCAATATTAAAATCATTCATTTTGATATCAATCATTCAAAGCAATCGATCTATTTGAAACACATATTTTTTTTTGTTGTTAATAAATGAAAATTTTAGCTTAAATAACCAAAATGAACGAAATTGACACACACACACACAAAATTGCGAAACGCAATCCGTTTTCCTTCATAGTTTTTTCATCAAACCTGGTCAACTAAATCAACAAACCTGCTGCTGTTGATCTATCAATCGATTGATCGACCAATCAAATCGAAAAAGGAAAAAAAAAATTTTCACATATTTTTCCCGATCATCATCATCATCATGAACAACGATGAAGAAGATCGATTCATTTTGATGATCTAAATTTAGCGACACATTGATAATCAACTATGATGATGATTCACACTCAATCGAATTCGAATGAAGCAACAAAAAATGAAATGAAAAATCAAAAAAAAATCCATTTTGACCAATTGACCAACATATACGATTGATTGAATGAATGAATGAATATCGAATTAGATTGATTTGTTGAATTTATTTTCTATGAAAGCAAAAAACAAACAAACAAACAAATAAAAGAAAAAGTTTGACAACATTTCATACCAAACAACAACAACAACAAAATGATAATAATCAGTCATCACCAGAAGCATCAATGTAAATTTCACTTTTGAGATAAACAGTAAAATTCGATCATATATGTCCATCATGAATCCAATAGTAATAATAATATAGTGCAGATTAATATTGATTATTTTAACTTTTTTTTTTGTTGATGATGATTTGATTGATTGATTGATTGATTACCGGTTGATCAAATCGAATGGTTTCATTCGAATGAAAATAAGACCATAGATGAAAATTTCTTCTTTTTCTTCTATTTTTCCCACTCAGTTGGATGCGGATAAATCCAATTCAAAAGCCATGCATGAAGTGATAAAAAGGATGAAAATCGGTATAAATTATTATTATTTAAAGAAATTAGTTTGAATCAATCGATCGAATCATCGTCTTTCATTTTTTCTGATCAAATTCTATTATTGGATATCTTGATGATCGACTTGATCTGATTGAATAAACAATTTAAAAAATGTATATTTGAAAACTGAATGTTTTTGGTCATTGGATCATCATTGGTCAATTAACATATGTTGAATGAACCAAAAACACACACAGTCAATGGCAATGAACGATTGTAAAAAGAAAAAGAAAAAACAATAGAAATCATAATCATTTGATAATTGCTTTCGATCATCATCATCATCATCATTTTCAATCGGATATTCGGGATAGATAAATCTTGTTTTTGTTTTCAAATCAAGATTATTGATTGATGATGTTTCGAAAAAAAAGATGATGAAACAATCATCATTTAGTCAAATGCTGTCCATTTGTTGTTGTTGTTGAAAAAATTGTTGTTCATTTTTTTTCGTGAATGATGCCAACCAACGAAAAAAAGCAGTATGCTAAATTATTCATCAACATCATTATTACCATTCATCATCGATAATAATGATAATAATGATGATAATGATAATAAGTTTGATGATGTGCATGTATCATTAACATCAACATCATCATCATTCAACACCATTATTTAGCCAAAGTAACAAAAATTTCGGGCGCTGCCGTTATTGACCTGAACGGCCTGATTCATTGATCCATTCGGTTTTCTCCATTTAAAAACCAAAAAACAAAATTTTTTTTATCTGATTTGCATCCACCAAACAACAACAACAACAACCAAGAAAAAAAAACCCAAAAAAAAATCTAAACATAAACCTAATCTATGATTTGTTCAATGATTATGAATTGAATTGAATTGAATCGAAATAAAAGAATTAAATTGGCTCGCCTAATATCATCATCATCATCATCATCGTATATGATACACACGGTAAACAATCGAAATGGACAAATGTTGTTGTTGTTTTTCATTTTGGTCACTTTTTATTTCCATTCTGGCCTACACACACACAAAACGATTGATAAGGAGGATCATAATGTTCGGAAATTTATTATTATTATTATCATCATTATATAACCGCCGAATGAACAAATATTTATACCCGATTTTTGTTGTTGTTGTTGTTGTTGAAACGAAGAATTGATCGAATGACAATCAAATTTCTTTGATTTGCCGATCAATTTATTTTGTGATGATTGTCGTTTTGTTATGAAAACGTTTTTATAGCCATTCCTATTTTTCTTTTTCAAATATTGTTCCCCCCAATTATTATTATTATCATCATCATTTTATTGGGCATTTTATAGAGATAAAATGAATTGGATTTAATACTTTTTTTTTGCTCGGTTGTTGTTGTTGTTGTTATTGTTAAATTCGAATGAATCGAGTATATTTTTTTTCTTCCCCAAAAAAATAAATATGATGCCAGAGTATCATATAATAAATTTCAAGAAATTTTTTTTTTCGTTTGTTATGACCTAACAATCATCATTTTTTAGGGCAAAATAAAATAAAATAAATATTATTTGATTTGATTTTCGATGTTTGTTTGATCATTATTATTATTATTATTGTTGTTACGGGATAAATAAATAGCCGTATCGATTGTATCGATGTTGATTTTTAAAAGTTTTTTAAAGCTTTTTTTCTTAAAATTTTCGGACCGATCAATGATAATGATGACCGGATCATCAAACACACGGTATGTAATATGCCGACTATTTTCATTCAATTAGTTTTGCAATAAAATTCATATTTCATGCTTTGAAAAAAATTCTATTGTCTAAACCAGATTCATGATTTTGTTTTTATCAAATTTAAAAAATGTCATTCGTAAAAAACAATTTTGTCCATTAGTTTTTCTGGTTTTTCTTTGTTTCGATATGTGAAGGGTGTGCAAAACATCCAAATCGAAAAATAATTTCGAATTCCCTTTTACATTTCGTTCTGGTTGATGATAATGATCAAGATTATTTCGGTTGGTTTTTCTTTCTCTCACTGTTGTTACGGTAGCCATGATTACAATATTATGACTGGTTATTATAATGATGGGTAAATAAAAGGGTGTAGCGAAAATTAGCTAGTCGAATCCATTATTTATCATTTAGCTATTTTTAATTTGAATTGAAATTTTATTAAAACAAAGTAAACTAAAATTTGTTACATAAATTAAATAAAGAATATATCTAGATTAAAATAAATCATATTAGTTAGGCAAAATTATGGTCGAAATATTAACAATAATTTGACCGAAATGAATAAAATAATACTGGCCAATAGATAGCTTCCTTCGAATACAAATAAAACTTCTGGCCATGTTTCCAAATATTTAGCAATCAAAAATGGTGTAAAAATTGTTGCCAATCCGGCAAAAAAGAATAACAATGAACCGATTCGATTAGATAGTTTAAAATGACGTTCAGTAAATGCTAAAATAGCTGGCCACATAGCTGAAAAACCGTAACCAAGTAAAACGGTTGTAATATAGATGATTGTTCGATTATGACGTCCAAAATAAAGACAAGTTTGTGCTACAATTATTATGACAAAATGATAGGTCATAATTATATCAGGCGTCAATTTTAAAGAAATAAATGCCGTAACTAATCGACCAATCGTATAAGCAGCGGATAAAACTGAAAGAACATGAGCAGCTTCAGATGGTTCAACAGACAAATGTTGTAACATTGTTGGCGAATAATAAAAATAACCCAATTCGGCTGCATCATACGTGCCTAAAAGCAATGCAACTAGAATGAGCTTGAATTTTCGTAATGATTGAAATTGACTAATATGATTGCTATTGATTACTTCGATATTATTTTCTTCATCATTATCACAATCACCGGGTTTACGATATCTTCGTATGAAGAATAATATCAGCAAAATGATAGGCACACATATTTGTATCACACCAACGACTGTGAACGGTAAACTAAGTGATTTTATTCTTTCTGATGGCGTCATTTGTGTAGAATTTCCGGATACATATGGTGAAATCAGAGCCGGACTAATAATTGTACCAAGGCCATACATAAATTGTGAGGATTGCATTACCGAAGCATGTTTATCTGGCCACATTTCAACAAGCCAGATATTGTTAGAGCTATCCCATGAGCCACCACCAATTCCATTCAATGTTATCGCAGCGAACAACAGGTAGATCGAACCATAATATGGAACGAAAGTCATTGATAACGCGATCAAAGACACCATACATATGAGTACGAATTGTCGATTAAGCCATTTATAAATTATTCCACCTAATAGATTGATGAGAAAATTTGAATATACATAGCTAATGATTTTTCAGTTAATAATTTACTTAATGATCCGATGAGATAACCAAGCGATGAAAATGTTGCAAGATAATTGATAGTTTCTTCTGAAACCTGATAAATTTTACTTAAATCAACCAAAGCTGCCCATAATGTATTCGATGTTATTCCCTTTGAACATGAATGAACAATTTTAAATAACAATAATAACACATACACAATCACAAAATCACTTACGAATGCAAAATGATTGACAAAAATGCAACCCGAATAAACCAAATTGATCCATTTAGTACTAATGTTTTCCATTTTTAATAGGAAAATATTCTTATATAAAAACAATCTTATTGTAATGTTACAAAATCAACAAAAGACGCCGCATCTAATAAATCACATCGAGTTTTGCTATTTAGACCCATTAAAAAAATCCAATTAAAATCATAAAATTATCAAATTAAAAGATAACTTACACTCATATTGATAACCATAGAAAACAATTATATTAAATCAGAAACAAAGGATGTATTTAGATTCGATGATTTATGATTATGATAATTATTGTTGATCAAAAAAATACAGACATAAATTGTTGAATATTTTTTCCGAATGTTATTGTGTTTACCATTCAAAACAACATGTTTAACACCAAACATAGATGACGAACCATTGACGTTCGAATAATTCTGCACAAAATTCATTCGATATTCGTGATTTGTTTGCAATGAAAAACCTATGCGAAAAATTTTTTGTTTTTTGTTTGCCAATTTTTTCGATATTTATCAAAAACTGATCATTTTTCGAAAAAAAACACAAACATCATTCGAATGAAAACTATCAGCAATTCGTTTTATTTGAAGCAATAATAAAAAAAATGAAGTTAATTTGTTTTTTAGCGGGGATAAAAAAAATCAATGTCTGATTTCCGGTATTGATAATAAACAAATCAAGAAAATTATCAAAAAAAACCCAATCAAAATAAATGCGAACATATATACTAAATTTTAAAAGTAAAATTAAAATGATAGAATCAAATCGTAATAAGTAACATAGATTGTCGAGATGAACCATCATTATGGTCGATAATTTTTTGATCATCATTTTCTAGCTTCTTTAAGCATTTTGACAATGATCGGTACGATCGTTTTGTATTGATGTTGACCTGTTATTGCTGCATCTTCGGATGCCATAATAGCTTTAAGATCACCCCATGTAGCTGGATCATATTTAGCATCACATTTTTCCAATGATGAATATTCTTTACAAACCAATTCAATATTTTCTTCAGCCTATCAAATTAAAGCAATGATAATGAAGTTAATCATTTTTATCAATGAATATAATATTACTTACAATATCACTGATCATATCGTTGAAATAATCGCCTGTTTCACCGCTACATAGATTTGTAATATGGTTGATGGCACATTCGCGTAATGCATGCGAACTACAACAAGCTCCACCAAGTCTTAATGGTTTTGGAAAGTTTGAAACTTTTTCCATCATGACCATATGTTTATCAGCACATAATCGTATAGGATCGGCTTTAGAACTATCAGAAAAACAGCCAACATGTTTCAAGAATTCGGCTCGTTCAGCCGGATTATCACAACGTGTATGTAAATGATTTTCAAGATCATTCATTACTTTGATTGTAATGGATTTCAATGCACCTTTAGCACATTCACGTGCATGATCAGCCAAACATTTTAATCCTTTTTTAGCATTGCTAATATTTTCAATTAAATAAAAATCATTATTATTATCAATAATAATTTATCAATATCGTTTATTTCGACTTACTCGCACATGCCAATAACTTCACCATCATTAGTTGGTACTTTAATATTACGATTAGCTAGAAAACTAATTTCATATGCACATTGATCCAATTCTTCAATAGTTTTGCATGCACACCAAAATCCTGGTAAGACAGCGGCAATAACAGCTATTGATTGTTTGATTGATTTTATTTAAATTAATCAAAATGATAACAACAAAACAGGAAAACAAACACTTACCGAAACCTAAAAGATATTTCATTTTCAATGTGAATTCTTTTCTTTTGCTTTGAAGGAAAAAGTTTTTTTATACAAAAAAAAATCTAAGAATCTCTTGCTGCTGTGTATTTGATTGTTGCAAAAGAACTGATATTTTTTTCAATCGTTCAGTTCGTATTTATACAATTTTCTCTTGTCAATCAAATAAGAATTTTTAAAAAAATGAAAACTTGATAATTAATTCGTTAATTAATTGACAAAAAATAATCATTAAATGACAAAAAAAAAATTGCTTCAAGACATTAATAATTATCAAAATCATTATCATCATCCCAAATTACAATAGCCCTCGAAAACAAAACAATGATTTTTTTTTTGTTCAAATGATTGAAATCATTAAATCTAATTTAGATAATTTTTCCATAATCGATTAATTGAATGAATCGTGTGAATTATTCACACACACAACCATTTTAATATATAAAAAAAAGAAAGAAGAATGCAATCGGAATTTCTGGTCTCACATGAACAATCATCAATAATGATTTTGAATTTAATTTGTTTGTTCGAAATAAGAGAAAAGAGAGACAAACAATTCATCATATATTTTATGATATAATCATATGAAGATGAATCCTCCCAACGAAACGAAACGCATAATTTTCGCTAGAAAAAAAAATTAATAATTTTCAAGAGAATTTGCATGCGTCATCTCTGACGATAATATCAATCAATCAAACAATCATTCGAACCATGACGATTGATTAAGAAATGAAATGTTGTTGAGATAATCTAAGCCCCTCTTTCAAAAAGAATACCTGTGCATATTTCTCAATGTCAAGGTCAAGAAGAATAATCATTTAATAATCAATAAAGATTGCATTCGATCAATTATTCCAAAACAAAAAAAAAATAATAATTTCTATTCTTTCAAGCGTGATAAAGAAACCGGTGATTATCAGATGAAATAATATTTATTAAAATAGAAAAGAATTTGCCAAAATTCAATGATCATTTGATGATTAATTTTAATTTTCAACGCACAAATTATCCTAATAATCAAGATAATCCAGTAAAAAAAATTCTTTTATTAATCGTTTATCAATCATTAAAAATACATTTTCATGCAAAGACAATGTTTTCGATGTTATTATACAAAAATGAGCAGTGTAAAAAATTTGACGATTATATGAAAGCGGAATATTTTCGGATCCATCCAAAATATATTAAACAACACGATATCGGCTTTTATTCAAATATGATGTATTATTCTATGATGAAAACAAAAATTAGACCAAATTTACGTTTTTTTTTTAAATATAAACTTACCAATTTAATTAATTCTTCTTTGATAAGACGAATAATTTCACTTTTAGCTTTACTAACGGAACGTTCACTTACACCTTCAATGGCTAGATATAATTTTCGTTCACCTAATTCAACTTTAGGTTCTTTACCAGGTGGAAAATATGTACCACGAACAGTAATACCGGCTTCAGAATATTCACTAATCATAGCAATAGCTTCTTTACTAGTTACACGCCAACGTGCTTGCTGTGGAAATTCATTTATTTCCAATTCTTCTTCATAACGTTGTGCTAATGTTTGTGCAAATAGATCATCATCGTCTCGTTTGATAATTTCACCATCATCATTATATTCAAAATCTTTGGGTATATAATTGAGTTTAGCATTGATAAGTTCAGCACGTTGTTCGGCAATAGATTTGGCTGTCACAGCACTAGCAATATCACCCAATGAAAATGCATCACCTTTTAATATTGCTTCAGTATGAGCAGTTGCTGATGGTTTATTCGTAACAATAGGATTCATTACCGGTGTTTTTGTCATTGATATTTTCGATGCCAATTGTTTGGCTAATTCTAATTTTTCCGATAATGTTTTCTCTCCCGTAGGTATTAATGGTTGCATGATTGTCTTCTTTTTTGGTGCTAACATACTTTCAATCTCTTGATCAATATCTTCTTCAGGGTCTTCGTCATCCGAATCTTGAAGACCAAGTGCTGCTTTTTGGAATTTTTTCTTTTCAGCTGCCTGGATTGCTTCAGCTTCATCGAATTTAAAACCTTTACCAGTAAAACCAGATGATGATTTTACTTTTTTACCCATCATTTCTTGTTCACTTTTATAATCATCAAATAATTTTTGTAAACTTTCCGGTATCGTATTTCCACTTGAAGTTAAGGCTTTAATTAGATCATTTGAATAGCGACCTTGTTCCGGTGTTATGAATGTATATGCATAGCCGTTGTTTCCTGCACGACCAGTACGACCACAACGATGTACATAATCTTCATAATGATTTGGACAATCATAATTGATAACAACAATACAATGTTTCACATCTAAACCTCGCGCTGCTACTGATGTTGCAACCAAAACATTAACACGTCCATTTTTGAAATCAGCAATGGTAGAATCACGATCATTTTGATCGATACCACCATGTAATGCTAAACAAGTATATGATGCATGCATTAATTCCTTCAATAACATATCTGCATGTTCTTGTTTGTCAACAAAAACAATGGCGCTTCCTTCACTTGAAAATTTTCCAAGAATTTGCAGCAATTTTAAAAATTTATCATCTTCATTAATAACAATAACTTCCTGTTGAACTTCTTTACATACAACAGATCTACCACCGACTTGAACTTCAATCGGTTTGTCCAATATTCTACGTGCCAGTGCTTCCATTATTCTCGGAAATGTAGCTGAAAACATTACTGTTTGTCGATCAGGTCGTATCCCATCGATGATTCGCATAACCTGTGGTTCGAATCCCATATCGAACATTCGATCAGCTTCATCCAATACAACATACGTACAACGACGAAGATTTGTGACGCGACCATTATTTGCTGCTAACATATCGATCATTCGTCCAGGCGTACAAACAACAATTTCGGCACCAGGTTTTAGGTCGCCAATTTGTTCGGAAATTGGTGTGCCACCATATACGGCTACAACTCTCAAACCTAATGGTTTGGCAAATTTTCTACATTCCGAATAAATTTGTGTTGCAAGCTCACGTGTTGGAGTCATAATCACAGATATTGGACCATCGCCAGATTCCAATGGTGGCTGATCCATGATATGTCGGAACATTGGTAATAGAAATGCCAATGTTTTTCCTGAGCCAGTTTTTGCTATGCCAATCAAATCACGTCCAGACATTATGGCCGGTATTGCTTGACATTGAATCGGAGTTGGTTTTTCATAATTGTTTCGTTTTAAAACTTCTAATACTTTTTTACTTGTACCACATTGTGCCCATGATTTTATTGGTCGTGGACAACCTTTACCTTTGGTTTTTATTCCTTCCATTTTTGTTTTATATTCGTTGACTTCTTCATCAGTCATTTTGGTAATTTCAGGTACTTCTATGTAGAAATTTTTACGAAACTTAACATATGTAATATCTTCTTTTGAAATGGTCATCAATTTTTTCTGTTTAACTTTAGCTTGTAAATTATCCATTGCATTGGCTAATTCATCATTTTGGCTAATTTCATCGCCAGATGAATATTCCATAGCATCTTGATTCTGTTCAATTAATTCACCTTTCTTTTGAGTGGATTTTTGCTTAGCTACACCAACAACAACAGTAACTTTATCATTTCGTTTATTAGCATGAACTGTTTGTTGTCGATATTTTTTTACTTCTTCCTGAATTCCTTGCATATAAGCATCTAATGGATCAATATCATCATCATCATCCTCAGCATCAGCATTGTCAACATTATTTTCATTAACATCTTGTTGTTTTTGTTTTTCTTGAGAGTCTGGTGCTTGTTCTTGCTGTTCGATTTCCATTTTTTCTATCGATGTGGAATTCGCTTCATCCTCTTTAGGTACAGATTTTTCTTCTTTATTAACTGAATTAAATGAATGAGAAAAAAATATGATGTAATTTTCTTCTTTAAAAAAAAAATTTTACCTTTAACAACTTCTTCAATTTTATCTTCAGTTTCAATTTTAGTTGCTGTAGGATTCTGAAAATTTTCTTCGTCGACTTCGACAGTTTCATCCACATTATCAACATTTTCATCATCTTCATCATCATCATTTTCATCATCCAATGTCCAAGTCTTTTTTGGTTCATCTTCCTTTTTAATTTCAATATCATTAACAGGAACAACAGCTGCAGCGACATTTTCACTATCATTTTCCTGATCATTAGCAGACGTTTCATTTGTATTAATCTGCGATGATTCTCCAAGTTTTTGCTGTTGGCGCCATTTTTCTATACGTTCACGACGTTCTTGCATAATCTTTTCTAAACGTTTCTGTTGTTCATCCATATCAAAATTTTTATAATTGATATCCTGACCAATAATATCTTCAACACGTTCTCGATTAACACGTTCAGGTGATTTTGATGATCGTTTTGATTTATGATGTGATGGTGATCGTGAACGATGATGATGATCACGATGGCGTTCCGGTGATCGAGATCTAGAACGATGACGAGATGATGAATGATGATCTTTATCTCTTCGCGAAGATGAGAATTTTGATGATTCGTAACGATGTGATGATGAACGACTTTTATAATCACGATCACGATGATTTGAAGATCGAACCGAAGACGAAGATGTAGATTTCGATGGCGATCGACTCCTGGAACGTTTACTATCCCAATGTCGTCCCATTGTTATTTCGATCCAAAATAATCAAATGAATAATGGAATAAATCAAAAGAAATTGGCAATGATGTCATGAAAAAAACAATCAGCCGGCATTGTTGTTTTTTGTCAAAACAAAACAAAAAAAAATATAATCGATATTTAACAATCGATTGTCAAGAAACGTTATTGTTACAAACTAGATGGTAGCACTTGGAATTTCAAAAAATTTATTCTTTTTTTTCACTTTTTTTCATAAAAATGCCGATTTTTAATTTCCAATTTTATAATCAAGAATTATCATTATTGAAAAAAATAAACTTAAAACGAACGAATGAAAAATTTATGTTAATGGAAAAATTACAAATAATAATAATAATCATAATCAAATTCATTAAATCAAATAAATTATTTACAGAAATACAAATTATAAAAAAAAAGAAAAAAAATTAAAGAATAATAATCAAGTGTTTTGTGATGAAACAAGGGGATTGTGTAGTATAAAAGTGTCAAGTTCCAGTGTTTGCAATTTCAGTTTCTGTTTCACAGGTTTAAAATTGATCAAATTTCAAAATTTGAAAAAAAAAACATTACAAATTATGATTTAATCAAACATCATCGTCGTTCATCTTATTTTTTCAGCTTCAAAAATGAATTGTTTAAGGCGAAGAATTAGAGATGTGAAATGATGATGATGATCGTGATGGATGGATGAATCAATCGATTGATCGATCTATGAAGAGATGATTGAATTTGTTCCACAAAATAAATTGAATTTCATTTTTATATGAACCGGATAATTTCTTTTTTTTTTCATTCCTCTCTTTTTTTTCGATTTTGTTTGATATCCACCATATATAATACCAATCGAATTTGTTTAACCGAATTAATGATATAATTTAATCAGATGAATGATGTGTCGAGAGTGTGATGGTCGTCGATTTAAAATTCAAGTCATTGATGGCAAACGATTATCTCGAATTTTCGATGATGATGATGATTTAAAATCAAAGATTCTTTGGTTACAATTTTAAAAAGTTGATTGAGTTGAATTCCATTTGAAAAATATTTTTCCAAATAAAAAAAAATATATTTCTTTGGTTTCAGCTATCAGCACGTTCGTCATCATTGGTTTTTGACTATTTTTGGTTTGAAAAAAATGAAAAAAAATTTCAGTTAAAATTTTAAACGAAAAAAATTCAAATCAATCAATAATCTTTTTCCAACGAAATAAAAGGAAAAAAGGAAAATAGTTGGCCAATTTCCAATGGAAAACCATCCAGATTGAGTGGAAAATTCATTGAAATTTAAGATAATTTTTCTTGTCAACCAACCAAACCAAACAAAAAAAAAAGAAAGAAAAACAAACAAATCTAGTGAATGATTTAAAGCTGTTTATATCGGAAAAAAATTGCAGTAAACCATAATTTTTGATCATCATCATCAAGAATAAGCTATGATGATCCAATAAATTATTTTGTATTGCCATGGTGAATGTAAAACAAGAAGAGAATTTGAGAAATCTAAACATTCGAAAATTTAAATAATTTTTTTTTTGGCTACGAACTATGACCGAGATGACATTATTATTATTATTATTATTATTGGCCCGCGGCCCGACAATAGTTGAAATAGTTTTTTTTTAATATTCGAAAAGTTAAAATAGAAAGATTGATGTAGAATTCGAATATTGATGTGAAGCCAAAAAAAAAATCAAGTCGATGATAATTCCGACAATAGTTATGGCCATCATCCCATCGTTTTGTTTAAAAAGCAAAATCCAGAATTTTTGCCTACATCAAAAATAAATGTGGTGAGTAAATTTTGTTCACACACAAAAAAAAAAAAAAATGATAATCATTTCAAGTTTAACTAATCAATTCTTGTTGTTGTTATTACTTTTCCACTTGTTAGCATTACTAGCGAAAGAAAAAATGATTTACAGATTTTCGAAATCAAATCAAATCAAATCAAAAACAATCGTTTTTTCCATCCTACAAGTGCGCTTTTTTCTGTGGGGTAGATTCTAATTCAAATATATTATTATGAATCGTCAACAAAATGACAGAGTGCCATAAGTCGGGCTATCGAAGAATTTATTTGATTGGTTGTGTATGTATGTTTTAGCCACACACTTCAAACAACAAAAATGAAATTATATTAAAACATTCCATTCTAATCAACAACAACAATAAAAACAAAAAAAAATCTACCGATTCATTTTTATTTTATATCATCCAAAAAAATTTGCTGCCATGTGAATGCAAAANAGAATAAGCTATGATGATCCAATAAATTATTTTGTATTGCCATGGTGAATGTAAAACAAGAAGAGAATTTGAGAAATCTAAACATTCGAAAATTTAAATAATTTTTTTTTTGGCTACGAACTATGACCGAGATGACATTATTATTATTGGCCCGCGGCCCGACAATAGTCGAAATAGTTTTTTTTTTAATATTCGAAAAGTTAAAATAGAAAGATTGATGTCGAAATCGAATATTGATGCGAAGCCAAAAAAAGCAATTCGATGATAATTCCGACAATAGTTATGGCCATCATCACATCGTTTTTTCAAAGAAAAAAAAACAATTTCCATAGTTTTGTTTATTATGAGAATTTTCCAATCATCAGCAATGATATTGGATGGCCAGATCGACAACAAAACAAAAAAAGAAAAATCCAGAATTTTTGCCTACATCAAAAATAAATGTGGTAAGTAAATTTTGTTCACACACAAAAAAATGATAATCATTTCAAGTTTAACTAATCAATTCTTGTTGTTGTTGTTATTACTTTTCCACTTGTTATCATTACTAGCGAACAAAAAAATGATTTACAGATTTTCGAAATCAAATCAAATCAAAAACAATCGTTTTTTTCCATCCTATAAGTACACTTTTTTTTGTGGGGTAGATTCTAATTCATATATATTATGAATCGTCAACAAAATGACAGAGTACCATAAGTCGGGCTATCAAAGAATTTATTTGATTGGTTGTGTATGTTTTTAGCCACACACTTCAAACAACAAAAATGAAATTATATTAAAACATTCCATTCTAATCAACAACAACAATAAAAACAAAAAAAAATCTACCGATTCATTTTTATTTTATATCATCCAAAAATTTGCTGCCATGTGAATGCAAAAAACAAAAACAAAAACTGCCGACACGTATAACAAATAACCGAAAAAATTATTATTATTATTATTATGATGATGATTGAGAAAGAAAACCGACAATGTAATGTGGAACTTGTTTCTATATCTTTATCTTTGGCTCTCGTTCTCCTTGAAGATTACATAATCGATATATTACAAAGCAAACATATATTATATACATTGGCCATCATTTTACAGGTAGCAAACAAGCAATCAAACAAACAAAGCGGCTACCGAATCAAATTCATATATTTATTTATTTGATTTGATAAAATATCAATCCCTTTGCGAGAAAAAAAATGAATCATTGATCCATATATCACTTTTTGTTCTCTACTTTTTGTTCATGATTTTTGTTTGTTTGTTTGGAAAGATTCTCATTCAAAAAAAAAAAAAAAAATTCAATTGGTTTATTTTTTCGGTAAGTTGGTTTTGATCATTATCATCATCATATGAATATGATGATTATGATCATAGATTCATCGTCGCCAATATGTCTGACATATATCAACACAGAGAGAAATATACCTGAAAACGAAAAAAAAAACAATAATTTTCATTTGTATTTTTTTTTTTATTTATACGAGAGATGTATAAATGTAAATCATGCAATCGATAAACACTGAACCATCATTGCAATCAAGATTTATCATATAAACATCATCATAAACAACAACAACAACAAACATCGTTTTTTTTCGCTTCTTTCGACTTTATTTCAAGAAATTCTTTTCTACTATCCAAATTGTGCCGAATATATAAATTTGGTGCAATTTTTTTTTCATTTAATTTCTTCTTTTTTTTCGTTGTTTTCGTTTGTTTGTTACGTAACAAACATTAATCAATGATCACACACACACACACACACAACAAGCATGTTGTAAAGAATTTATTTTTGGTTTTGTTGCTATATGTTTTTATGACCATCAACAAAATCAAAGAAAAACATCCAACAACAACAAACCCAAATCAATAGTTGTTTTATTCCAAAAAAAAAAATCATTGTTAATGAAATGAAATGAAAAAAAAACTTTTCAACAACAACGAAAAAAAGTGTGCAAAACACACAGTGTAAAAGAGAATGATAAATTATTATTATTATTCAGAATATGTGATGTTTTTTCCCCAAATTTATTTTTTTTAGTTTCCAAGTGGGTTGTTACACTTCGTTTTCAATCGATGATCATGATCAATGATGAAACTTTTCTTCTTTTTTTTTTTTGGTTCTGGCAAAAAAAAAGCCGCCGAATCAATGAAATTTGATTTATGTTTTTCACATTTCTCTCTATCTCTCTCTTGTTATCAATATTGTCTATCTTACAAATCATCACCAAAAGTTATTGAATATTGGTACATCACAAAAAAAAGTGTGAAAAAGACATTGACATTGATTCGAATTCTGTAAGATTTTTTCTCCAGAAAAAATAACCTCAAAAATCAAATTATTAAGTTTTGGATTGGAAATATTTTCCTCTACATAATGTCAAGAATAATACAATGATTGACCAGTTTGGATGAGAATTCAATTTTCTTGATCGGCAAAAATATAAAGTCATCAACAACAACAACAAAAAAACGTTATCAACAAGACGTTACGAATGATTGAATATCAGGTATGATGATGAAGCCAAATTTGGCAAAATTCGTCAATATTTTGGGTTATTTGAAAAGCAGCAAATGACAGATCAAAGAAACCAAGGAGAACCAAAAAAAAAGAAAAAAGACCACACTGATTGAGATTTAATCAATCAATCAATCGATCAATTTTTTTTGGTCATTGATTCAAACCACCACTCCCAATACGTTAGAATTGGATGATAATTTTCTTTCCATCGATAACAAGTCAGAAGAGAAAAAAAAATTGAGAAATTTTTTTCTTCCACTCTATCTATGTATGTTCACATTGTAATTAAGTTGTCTTCGCTTTGAAACATAACAACAACAACAACAACAATCATATCAATCAGGAAAAAAAAATAATAAGGGCCAAAGGTAAACGGAACCTTGTTTGGAAAAATCTCAAATTTTAAAATGATGAGAAAATTTTCTGGATCTAATAATTTTCAAACAGAAAAAAAAGAAAGAATTCCGTCTTGTTAGCGGAAATTTTCAAACAAATAAACAAACAAACAAGATAGACAATTTTCTTTCAAAAAAACTATTATCAAGGTGATGTTGGTTGATAATGATGATAATGATGATCATCGAATCATTTGGTAAGAGCAAAAAAACATGACAATAGTTTGATAATGTTATTTTCTTTTTCTCTTCACTTGATTAATCAGCAATGTCGGCAGAATTCAGTAAGTTTGATAATTTGAGAAATAATATGTAATTGTTGGTTGGTTGGTTGGTTTATTGTTCACAATGAATTTGCCGGCTTTGATCTTTGATTTTCATTCATTTTTTGTTGTTGTTGTTGTCAGATGTGAGGTTCCAGATATAATCATTATCATCACATTAATTTTGATCATTCTTGTCATCATAGTTCATGATGATTAGAATGAAATAGAGTTTCTGAAACATTGAATGAATGAATTTTTTTTTTCGCTTGATTTTTAATGATAATTGGCCACCTACCATCAATTTATCACCTTGTAATTATCCAAGAACAAGAATAAAAAAAACCGATTGAAACGAACCGAAATCAATATTTTTCTCTATGTTTCAACAAGATTGAATTTCATCAATGTTTCAATGGAAAAAAAGATTCAAAATTTCAACAACAACAACAACCGAAGCACTAATTTTTCACCACCACTAATCATTGTTACCGATTTTTTTTTCATAAAGAAAAAAAAACTTATTCGGTGGTTTTTTTGAACGAATCTGAAACACGCACATGATTTGCGTTTTCTTCAAATAAAAAAAAAACCTAGAAACAACGAAACAAAACTCTGGCTGATTAAAACCAAAAAAAAATTCAATTTTATGAAATTTTAAACATTTTTTTTGGCAAATAAAATTTATGGACATTGAAAGTTTATGGAAGTAAAAAAAACAGAAACAAAAAAAACCAGAAAACACCGAAACCGAAAACAAAAAACAGAGAAAATTAAAATCAAAATCAAAACCTCGACCAACCAACCACAAAAAAAAAAAGTAACAATCAAAACATCATCATCAAGAATGTAGACGACGATAAATTATATTGTCGTCATCATCATCATTGGGTTTGATCATAATATTTGTTGTTGTTGGTGGGCCAACCAAAACCAAATCAAATCAAACCAAAACAAAAAAAAAAACAAAACAAAATAGCCATCATATACGAAGGATTTCATAACTAAGACCGCCAAAGTTGTTTTGGTTTTCTCGGTTATAATTATAATTATTACTAAAACTATACAAATCAAAAAAAATGATGGCAAAAAATTATTCACAATGTCGGTAAATGTGATTTTATTTTTTTTGGTTTGGTTGGTTTGGTAGTTTTTTTCCGAATGAATCTCACGAAATGGCCACAAAAAAGAAAGAAAGAAAACACTTACCGAATAGGAATGTGCCGGTTGACGTACAACAACTACAGGATCATAATCGACCAATGTTTTTACCGCTAAACATACACAAAAAAATGAACAAAATTTTTATTAATTGAAACAATTTGAATTGAATTAAGTTAGTTATCATTTATTATGGTCAATACTCACGATATTTTTGTAAATCTTTATATTCACAACGATGACCTTTATAACCATCGGCACATCTATTTTGTTTGTTTATTTGTTTGGTTTTTGTGAAAATTGAAAAATTCAAAGATTAATTTTCAATTTAAATATTGAAATATTTTTTTTTTTGTTTCTATACTTACTCACAAACATATTCACCAAGATGTTTATATAATGAACAAGTACCACCATTCAAACAGAATGATGCAATTGGACATGGTTGTGGAATTTCGGAATATATATTTTGATTACCAATACCATCATTATTATTATTATTATTATTCATTTGTTGTTGATGATTATAATTGAAAATATCATCACTATTATCATTATTATCAGTTATTTGATGAATATTATAATGATTTGTTCCAATAATCACATTATTTCGGGTATTATCATTATCGATTTTTGTTTTTCTTACACCGGAGGAATATGATGATGATGATGATGTGAATGATGTGGATGACGTGGATGATGATGGATGTCGATTATGTTTACCTAATAATGTTTTTCTATGTTTTAAATGATTAATTGGCCATTGTACATTAACATGGAATCGTTTAACGGATGGTTCTTTTGATACAACATTCATTGCACGACATTCATATGTACCATGATCACGTCGTACTGATGCACGTATAATTGTTAATTGTGATATTCGTCTAAAAATTTTCAAATGGAAATTTAATGAAAAAAAAGTTTAATAAATTTTTTGCTCAATTGCAAATCAGGAAAGATAAAAAAAAATTCCTGAAAATTTTGTCTAGTCTAGGCATTTTTATGATTTTTTTTCATTCTTGTTGTTGCTGTTTTCATCATCATTCGTTTCTTCTTAAATTCATTGACATTCGAAATTGCCTCATCATAATGATGAAAATAATAATAATAATTCAATGAAGAACGAAAGAAAGAAGAAATACATCACTTTTGTTGAAAATGTCATTGAAAACGAAACAACAACAAAAGATTAATGTCTGAATATTTATTTTGTTCGTTTGATTCAAAAAGAAAACAAAAACAAAATTATCCACCAAAGAAACATTATCCGACCATTATCCTTTCGTTTTTTTTTGCCTCCGAACAAGAAAAACTTTCCACCGAATAACATTCAACTATAATACGTCATCATCATCATCATCAAATTTTTTCTTTGATGAAAAAAAATTAGTCAAACCAAACAAAAAAAGTCTTAAAAACCGATAAAACATTCGCTTCTATTCAACAGTTTATCATTGAATTTACTGTTTGTTTCCCATTCAATTCCTCTATTTCTCCTTAAAAACATTTGTATGGAATGAAAATAAACAAACAGAATAACATTGGGAATATATACTAACTAAAATTGTTATTAGAAAGAATTGAATTTTCATATATAATTTGATCGAGAATCCGTCAAACAGGGTATTTTGTAAATGTAAAAATAAAAATAAAAATAAAAATAAAATGATCATAATGTTTCTATGATGATATTATTCAATCTTTTTTTTTCAGTATTTTTCCATGTATGTTTCGTTTGATAGAATTTCTAAAAATGGAACAAACATTCATTCACCCACTCACACATACACACACTGAGTAAGTATTGAAAAAAGAATATCGTTGACACTTATATACATTGATGATGATGATGAAATTGTCTATGTTGTTAATGTTAGGTAATTTACATGAATGTTATAAAATTTTTTATTTCAGTTGTCTGCTGTTACACTCTCATTATTCATTCAGCCAATATGTCTGATGTGTTTTTATTTTTCTTGTACAGAAACAAAAAGAAAGAATATTCTTCAATTCAAGAATGATGATGATAATAATATTGAGATATTCAATAACATTTTTTTTTTGAAGGCGATGAACTGTAAAATTATTATTATTATTGTTTTAATTGCAATGTTTAAGTAAAATTTACAGCAGCAAAAAAACATTTTAAATAACATTATTTAATGATAATAAAATACTAACCTTCGTGTATTGATTTTCACACGTCTTCGTGTACGTAAACGTCTTCCATTACGATACCATTCGATCCATGGAATTGGATTACCATCAACACGACATGATAATGTTATATTTTGTTTTGAAATTATATCCAAACGTTCCCTGCTGCTATGTATTATACGTGCTGGTTTAGCTGGATATAATAATAATTAAGAAAAAACAAAACAAAAATCGATTAGCAATAGACAAATATAATGTGGTATGAAATAATTGAAACAAAAAAACTAACAAAGATAATAACCAAATGATTGTGTAATCATAATTTTTGTTTTCAACAAAACAAAAATAAACGTCTTAAATAGATAATCAATCAATCGAATGATAATGTTGAGCGGCATATATCAAACACACACAATTTCAAAAAAAGAAAATCCTTTTTTGAACATAAAACACAGAAGCAAAATTCAATTCATTATGATGATAATATTTGGATCTATGACTTTTGTTGAAAAGAAAATGTTTTTTGTTTTGTTTTTTTTACCTGTGGTGGGCAAGAAAGTTTTGTTTGTATCTACGAATTTGTCATTGATCATTTAACCATTTAGATATGTGTGTGGTAGATTTTGAATCCGATTTGATTCGGGTTTTAGTTTTTTTTTGTTGTTGTTGTTATTGTTACTGGCCCAAAAAAAAAGAAAAGAAATGGCTACCTGATTTTTATTCAACATTGGATAATGATGATGATGATGGTAAAATAGACTGATTGTCTAAATGAATTATGGTTTCATTTGTTCCCCCCCCCCAAAGAAATGATCAATGAAAAAATTCTTGCTTAATCGTCGATTGAGATAAAAAATTTGAATGAAGAAAATTTTTTTTCTTGAAATTGAAAGGGTTTTTTTTGGTTCGGGATTTTTTTCTTTTTTGTCGATGGTACTTGTTTGATCCAGGAGAGAGAAATGTGAAAATAAAATATTCAAACTTTTTCACTTGCGCTCCTGCTGTGTGTGTGTATATATACTCCTATTTCATTTACTCTTTGTTCATTTGCAAAGAAAAAAATATTGGCGAATCAAGCAATCGATTGATGGCCAACCAGAACAAATATTGTATAAGGTTTCGGGAACACCGAGATAGAGAGAGCAAAATGCAAAAATATTTTCCCCTTTTTGTCCAGCAAAATGAAAAAGAAATTCATTGAGTTCATTCTTTGATTCACCACTCCTACACCTTTGAAGTTTATCTTCTCAATTTTCAACTATTTTTATATCCAATAATATCGAATATTAGCAAATAAATAAAAAAACCAAAAAAGTAAGGAAAAAGAAGAAGAAGAAGAAAAAAAGCCGCCAAACATAATAATGAATCAGTGTCAAAAATGAAAAAGTTTCTTTTCCCATTTTGGTTAAGTGTTTATATAAAGAATGAATTCAGAAAGAGAAAGAAAAAAAAAATTACGAATAAGCTTCCTATAGTCGCATTCAGTATTGAATAATTTTCGTTGTGAAAAAAATATGACTTCTTCGTTGTCGTCGTCATCGTCGTCGTCATTGTCGGTGTGAATGAATAAATATTCTTCATCCATTCATTTGTCAAAGTGAATTTTTTTTTTAAATTGTCAAATTGAGAAAAAGTCCCCCTGAAGAAACGAAGAAATTTCTTTTTTTTCTTGGTTAAAGACTTCAATGAATTTATAATAATAATAATAATCAATTTGGATGGTCAATTCCAAATAATAATAATGATAAAAGCAATAACAAAGATTTTCCTTTTTTTTTGCACAAAATGACAAATGAATTTGGCAAAAAAAAAATGAAGGTAGAAAATGAAAAAATTTGTCGCCAAAATAAAGAAAAGAAAACCAATTTTTCGGTTTGATATTTTTGTTCATTCATCCCCATTTATCCACAGTTCTTTTTTCTTGTCATTGAAGAATGGGAAAGAAAAAAAAAATATTTTCATCGAATTCAGTGTAACCAACAACAGTTATTTTGCCGCCCACACATTAAGAAATGATAAACAACAACAACAACAATGAAGAAAAAGAAAATATTATTGAAGACAGCCACACACAATTTATTTAGTCAACTTAATAATTTCAAAAATTGCATGGTTTCAGGAAAAAAGGATTGAAAATTATTATTATTATTGTTGTTTGACAGTGATTTGGTCAATTTTATCGACTGAAAAGTGAAAGAGATCAAGAAAGGGTTAATGAAAAAGTGAAATGACTCAATTGTGATCTGTAAATTATTTGTCATTCATGATTCTTTTTTCCTATTCATTCTGCACAGGGAAACATCATAATGTCAAATTGATGCAAAATTCTTTTTTGTTTTGTTATGGATTTCCATTGAATGATATGATTTATAAATCAAATTAAATGAATAAAATGTCAACCATATTCTCAATCAAGGTTGTCGGATGTTGCCGGTTGTTTGCTGTTGTTGTTGTTGTCAAATCATCAAATTATTATTCTGTCTCGACATCTCGGTAAAAATAAAATTCAAGCGAGAAAACAAAAAACAAAAAATTCATTCATTCATTTAATATAAATCAACAACGTAAAGAAGATTGAGTGAGAGACTGAGAAAAAAATTGTCAAATTTGGCAAAACAAAAAGAAAAAGCAAAAGAAAAACGGATTGCCTGATTTCGAAGAAATATGACAACCGGCGGAAATGTTTTTTTTTTTGTTTTTGCATTTACAAAAAAAAACAAATTCTGATGATGATGATAAAATACCATCATTATTTTTGTTTAATGATAATGATGATGTTGTCGCGACAAAGATAAGATTAAAAAATTCATTCAACTAAAACGAACAAAGAAACTAGGTATGTTTGAATGAAAAAAAAGAATCGGTTCAGCAAACACAAAAACGCCTACATTAAAGAATTTATAAAAAAAAATTCTGTTTTTTCATTCATTCACAGAATATATTGACTAAATAATGATTCATACATTGAAAGTAAATGGTTTTTTCCTTATTAATAGAATGAAAGTAATTTTTTCCCAGATTTAAAAAATTACATTGATCGTGATCATTCAATTATAATATAATGATGTGATGAAAAGCTAAAAAAAGGTACAACCTTTGTTGGCAATTTGTTTCAAAAGAAGAAAAAAATCTACTGAAAATGATTGAAAGAAACACGAATTCATCATCAATGATTATCATCATCATCGAAAACAACTTGAAATTTTTTTGTTTTGTTTTTCCTCTAAAAATTCTGTCAATTCAAGTCAATCATCATCAACGAAATCAACGAAAGAAAAACAAAAATTCATTTCAAAACCAAAACAAAAGTAACAAATCAAACAACAACAACAATTATTTGTTAATCGAAAACTAAACAAAAATCATTTTCAAAAAAACTGAACATATCCGGCTTCTGTGTGGCCACACAATGGAATACAGACAAAAAAAAAGAAAACAAAATTATGTTCAACACACAATTGAATCATTATTCAGTTTGCTGTTGTTGTTTATTTGTTTCATTTTCCATTTGAACAAAAAAACTAAACTAAACACGATACAAACAAACAAGTAGTAACCAAAAATTATAACAATAGTACAACCTTGCAAATCAAAACAAAAATCCCGGTAAATATTTTGAATTATAATGTTTTTTTTTACTGTACAACTACTACATCATCATTCGAACATCATCGAACAGTGGTAAAGAACAAAACAAAACAAAAAATTAAAAAAAAAAATCAGAATCTCACCCCCGCTTAGGACAAAAGGTGAAAGGTCAACTTTTTTTTTGACTAAATTCTCATAGGTTAGATATTTAAATTTCTCTTTCTCTCTCTCTCTCTTTTGATATTCTCAGACCATCATCACCATCATCATCATTCAATAAACACAGCCCACACACAAACACCAAAAGTCAATGAAATGATGATCATAATCATAATCATCATCATAGCAACTATGCTAAATGGATGGATGGATCAAAAGTAATTTACAAATTATTTAGTTTTTTTGTTTTGTTTTTTATTACTGATTTCAGATGTCAAATTGTTACATTTTACATATTGTACTTATCGATTCAATCTATTGATCGACCGATCGATCGATCGATCGATGATCATCATCTGTTTTAAATGGATTTTTTTTTGTTTCGAAAAAATTTCTCTTTTTCCTTCTCACTCTCTCTTAAAAAATAAACATTTGAAACCTATCGAGAGACAAGTGGTCCATTAATCAATAATCAACAACTACAAAGTCAAAATCATCATCATCATATAGATCAACAAAAAACAGAAGAAAAAAGAAAATTGAATACCTTGTGAACAGAGAGAAAAAAAACTGAAATAAAATAAAATAAAAACAATAAAGAATTCCAACAACAACAAAGGTCAACAACTGTACATACAAACAACAAATACAAGTGGTGATCATTTTTGTTTAAAAAAATAGTGTTTTTATTATTATTATTATTATTTCAATCAATCAATCAATGCCGGATCGATCATCGATCGATCGATTGATCGAAAATAAACAATATCAGCACGATAACAAATTCCAATAGGAAAAAAGTATATGGGAAAAATCACAGATCGATCCAAATGAAAAATTGATACAAATCAGCAGTGATAATGATTATGATGATGATGATGATTCGAGAAAAAAGAATCCATCATCAACATCATCAAATTTGATTGACTGAATCAACAATGAATTTAGAATCAAGGAATTTTTCTTGTATTTGTCAATCAAATGAAATTCTTCACTTTCGCAAACATCATCTACCCACATTGGATTTGGAGAAAAACAAAATACGTTTAAAGTGAGAGAAGAAGAGAAAAAGATTGATTGATCAAATCAAATCAAGATATAAATATTTTGAAATTTTTCTGAAAAAAAAATATTGAAAAAGAAAAACCGAAAATTAAATTTGTTTTTTTTTACTACGATATGATGATATATCTGGGCAAATTAAAAACAAAAACAAAAACAAAACAAAAATTGTAGCAAAACAGACCGACCGATCGACATCTTGACAAGTTAGTTATAAATATCAGAAAAAAATGACCAAGGAGAAAAAAATAGACATTATAAAAAAGATTTAAAGAAAAAAGACCGCAACGAACGAATGAACGAAATCTATTCTAAACCCAGATATGATGGTGGTGGTGGTGGTGGCTTTTTTTATTATTCAAAAAAAGATGAAAAGGAATCCAGGAACTAAATTTAAAACCAGCAAGGAGAAGAAGAAGAAGAATATTTTTCTTTGCCTTCCAAATAGGCCAATATTATAGGCCAGAAAAAAAAATAGATAAAGAAACTATGTGATGTTGTTTGACGACAATAGACAAATTAGACAAATTTTTTTTCCTTTTCATTTGAAGAGAGATTGAAACATATTGAACATTCAAACGAGAGAAAAAAAAACTAAGGTGTGTTCCATTCACACACACACAGGTAAACAGTGTCGTTATTTTTTCTTTTTTGATTTTTCATTTTATTTATAAAAATCAAATTTTTTCGCTTTATTTCTAAGGGTTTTTTTTCATTCATTTATTCAATTGCAATTGATGAGTGTCCGGGGCAATTGTAAGATTTTTGTTGTTTTTTTATTCGGCTAAATTCAATTGCAAAATTGATCAAATGTTTATCATCAATAAACATCATCATCATCATTTTTTATTTAGTTTGAATTGAAATTTTGAAAATTCTTGACAAGAAGAATTTACAGAAAATTCAACAATTCTGTGATTAACAAAATATCAAGGATTTTCAACAAAATCAAATTAATTGATCCAAATATTTGAACATTCTTAATTCAAGAATCAATGATTAAAACAAAACAAAACAAAACATAAAAAAAATCTATCCATAACGATCATCGATGAGAATGATGATGATGATGATGATGGCTATTGTAACAATCATCATCATCATCATCATTCTTTATGCCAAAGGTCAAGTCCTGGAGTTCTTCTTGGTTGTTACATTTTTTTGTTTGCGGCACATGTTTGTGTATGTGTGTGGGAGAGATAGAGAGAAAAAAAAATATAGAAATAGAGAATATAACTATTATGAATGGTGAGAATCGATTTTTATTTTATTTTTTTTTTGTTTGAAGGGCTAGGCCTTGTCTCTTGTCTATCTATAAAGTAGAATGAATAGTTTTATGGCTACTGATGATGATGATGATGAAAGAACTAGGATAACAATAATAATAACAACAAATGAACGAAACAAACAAAAAAAAATCCGATCCGGGAATCTGACATTCTTTTCGATATAATCGATTTTTTTTTTCATTTGTTTTTCTGTTGTTCTGAAGTTGTTTTGAATATAATTGTTTTGTCTATTTTGTTTAAAAAAAAAAAATGTTAATTATAATCAAGCCGGATTTTCTCATCCACAAACATACACAAATATTTTGATCTAAACAATCAATATTAAATTGATATTTAGCTACCAAAAAACAAAACAAAAATTTACTTAATAATTTTATAATTATTGTCAGAGAATTTACAAGAAATAAAAAAACTAATAGAAAATTTTACTTACCACAATCACGGCAAAGAATTTTTCTTACTAAACGACTAGTATTACGACTAAGTGTTTCAGGTATTGTATATGTTATCATTGATATTAATTGATGACCAATAATACGATGATGATTATTGTCATTGGTTATCAATCGATTATTAAATTGTTTATGAAGATCATTATTAGATAATGATGATGATGATGAAATTGGTGGTAACATAAATCCACGTGTTGATAATATTTGTTGTTGTGCAAATAAAATATAACGTGTTTTTGTTCGTAATTTTTCCCATATTTGTGGCATATAAATAGCACAGAATGGTGTTTCCATACTTTCATTTTGATTTCTAACAAAATAAAGTTTTATTTGTGTTTCATAATTTGGATTTGGTATTAATATAGATAAATCATCATTTGTATTTGGATAATTATTTATTGTTGATATTTTTGACATATCTGGTTTGATTAATTTAAGTAATCTAAATGTTGCACCAATACGACCACCATAATCTTCAGCTAATGAGATCAATTCACCATAAAATACTATTGGTGATAATAATGCTTTACCGGCAACATCTAATTGCTGTGACCATTGTTCCGGTGGTCCATCCGGACATTGTTGTTGTTGTTGTAATTGTTGTTGCTGTAATCGTTGATGTTGTAATTGAAGTTGTTGATGTTTTTGTTGTTGTTGTTGCTGATAATGTTGACGATAATAACTATTTTTAAATACCGATGATGATGATGATTGTGATGATGATGGTGATGATGATAATCCTAGATTATACAGCAATGGTGGTTGATGAGATCGTTTTCGTATCCAATCGGATGAAATTCCTATTGCTTGAGGACGTTGTTGTTGTTGTTGTTGCTGTGTTTGTTGAATTGCGGAATGCCATTCATTATTATTATTACTATGTTGTTGTTGTTGTTGTTTTGGTTTAATATGATTCATCCTTTGATTATTATTATAATGATATGTAGTTGGTATTGATGATTTTGTTGTCGATGTTGTTGTCATCAATGTCATGGTCGTTGACGTTTCCGGTCTTATTATTTGTGATGGATTTTGTTGTTGTTGTTGTTGTTGAAGATTAAGATAATGTGGATGATGTTGATGATGATGACGATGAAGATTATGATTCATTATCATCATCATTGTCGATGATGATCGTTTTGTTAATCTTTTATTATTATTATTATTTTGTGGAAATGATATCCTATTCACAGTTAATGTTTTATTTGTTGAAATAGATTCAACATTTTTAATACCTGTTGTTGATTGTTCATTTTTGTTATTGATAATTGATGATTTATAATTAAATTCATTATTATAAATAAGATTTTTTTGGCTTTCATTATCGGCCAATGATAATTTTATATTATTTACAATGGTCATTATTATTATTGTCATAATTATGAATCGTGTGAAAAATGATTGCGTTTGTTGTTGTTGTTGTTGATGATAATTTGATGATAATGGTGATGATGGTAATGATGGCCGATGATGATTATCGTTTTGTTGACGTTGATTTATGAATGATATAATATTCAATAATAAACGATAAAAAATATTCGTTAAATGAAAGAAAAACTTCATTTTGTTGCCGGTATTTTTGTTCTAATTATCATCGATAATTTTGTAAAGTTTTTTATTAATAAATAATTAAATTTTTCAATCAAAATTAGATTGATCGATGGAATAATATGATGAAAAAAATGATGATAAAGATGATGACGGTGATGATAATGATGATGATTGACCATTTGTTTACATGGAAATTTATCGGAAAATTTATTGAAAAATGTCAACAACATGATTTTTTTATTCAATTAACCAATATCTGTTGATATGATTTGAGAATTTCATTTGTTGTTGGTTTCACCTAGATTTTGTTGAGAAAACAAAAAACTTTTCACAAAATCACAAATTTCAATTCAACTAATCAAAAAGATTTGTTTCAAAACCGAAACAAGCAAACAAACAAACGAAAAAACACTAGTAGCATCGAGTTTTTCTTTTTATTTTCATCAAATCACATTAAATATTACCACCATACAGACATGATTTACATGATTATCATTGAAAGATTGATGATTATATCTTATTTATTTATTTAGATTTTAATAATTTTAATCAGCAAATTGTACAATTTTTTTTCACTTTATCATTTCTCGATTACAATCAGTTACAAATTGAAAACACAAATTGATGATATTTGTTAATGATGATGATAATGATAATGATGATATGTATTTAATTGCAATATAATTTAACATGTTTTCTCTTTGATTAAAATCAAGTGTTGATTTTTTTCAAAAATAAAATATTTTTCTCCAACAAAAAAAATAAAATAAAATAATCTAATTACACCTGTGTGATAATGATGATGAGTGGTATTGGTGGTAAACCGGTGCCGGTGTTTTTTTTACAATAAAAATTAAAATTCAGTGTTCTTGTTACACTGATCAACATCGACAAACTAAAATCGGTCGAATGACTATTTTAGTCTTCATATATTCGGTAGTTTTCGATGTCTGTCTTCACTCTCTATATGTGTGTGATTTTTATCCATAGAGTTCTTTCTTTTACATACACACACACATATTGCATACAATATCATCAACATCGAAGAACAGAAGACATTTTTACCACCAATTCTATTATCATAATCATCATCATCATCATACAAGATATAGACACTCGCACATATACACCAACACACGACAGACGATAATATCAACAAGCAAGTAAAACTTTTTTACAGAAAACAAAAATACTTTACAGTAAAACGCTGTCTATCTATAGATATTATTTTCATTTTGATCCAATGTTGTTATCTGTTATCTGATGTTGTTATATGATTTTGTAACCAAAAAAAAAAGAATTTGTAATTTGTAATTACCGACTGTTTGGATCATCATTATCAATGGAGAAAAAAGATTTTTTTTCAAATTTTACTGCTTGGCAAATGGAACAAACAATCATATATTGATGTGGAGAGTTTACACACCAGATCATCCAAAGATAATAATAACCAGAAAAAAATATATAACACCAGATCATCAGATTCATATGGTTATTTTGATTTTTATTTTAGTTGTTGTCTGGTATTATTATTATGTAAATTGATGTGATGTTAGTATGTCGTCGTCGCTTGTGCCTCAATCAATTGTCGACAATTTGGCATAATATGGTAACTTGTTGGTTGCCTGGGATAACCATTATATGATGCTTGTTGTTGTTGACGTCGTTGTTTTTTTCAATAAAAAAAAATATTTATTAGAAATAATAAGTTTAAAACATTGAAAATTTGGGAGTCTGGCGTTGGATTAAGAATCGTTTTTCATCTTTTTATGAAAATGTTAAAATTTTAAAATGTAAGCGTAGACCGGAATCACTATATTCTCCTATATTCCGATTTATTAGTCGAGTTTTGTTTGAAGAAAAAAAACAATTAAAGGGTTATTTTCTGATTTAATTATCTCATTCTTAATGATGAAGAAAATTAAGGGTAATTCCATTCATATTGTTTTTTGGTTCGATGCTCAAACTTTATTATCATCATTATCATAATGATGAATTGAATTGAATTGACAACAATCAAGTTTAAAAGGAAAAAAAATTGGATCATTATGAAATATATGGCTAAATGATGAGTATCATCATCATCATCATTCGACCATAGATAAAGGCTATTAGTTTTAATTAGATCAAATTAATTTAATTAAATTTTTGTTTTTTTTTTAAATTCAAAAATTTTTGTTTTTGATTCTGTTGTTTGATTTTATTGTTGTTGTTGTTGTTGAATGAATTTCTTGAATGCAACAAAACCGGAATCAACTAGAATTTTGTCAATGAGACAGAAACAAAAAAAAAATTATGAAAAAAAAGACCACCTTGGAATGATTTAAAAATAGTGTGTGGCTATATGTGTTGTTTTAAATACCCTCAATGTTAATTTGTATTATGTGTTCATAATGCTTGTTATTCTCCCAAACAAACAAACGAATTAAGATCATTTTGAAACTATATGATGTTTGTTTTTTTTTATAATGATGATTATATGTTCATGGCCAATGATAATGGCCATTATGTTTTGTTATTTTTGTTTTTGTTGTAAATTTTATTATTCTTTTGTTTTTGTTGTTTTTTTATGAACGAAAAAAAAAGAGTTCCAAACAAAACAAAACCAAAAAAAAACGATGACGATTAAAACTTGAATGAAATTTAAACGAGAAATTTTCCATAATATCCTCGGAATTGATTCTCATTTTGATTTTTATATTTTTATATATACACCAACATTTAAAATTCTAGATCACGTTCGTTCACATTATTTTTTCCCATTTCATTTCATTTCATTGACATATTACCATCGATCAAAATTGCAATGACGATGATGATGATGGCAATTTTTTAATATTGAGTCCATTTACCTATACGCCGTTGCATATATGTAAAAGTTGTTGATAATAAAATAGTGACAAAAATAACGTAAAGTAAAAAAGAGAAAAGAAATTGAATGTTTGTTTTTTTGCCATTTGATTGATTACAATTTACGTTTCAATAATAATAATAAATTAAAAGTTTTAAATTTCTGTAAAACAAAACCAAAAAAATTCTTGAGAAAAAAAATACAACCTTGATTGAATGTGATCATCTTTTCATCATAAATATCCATGTTGCAGAAATAAATTTACAGAAATAACCAGAATTGAATATTTTGTCGATAAAATGGCGTGAAATTCTTTAGTGAAGCAACAAAAAAATCACAAATTGGTCGATATATGTAAATATTTACCAGAATTTTGCAAAAAAAAATGATCATCTTGATTCTATGGAATGGTGATGATGATGTGCAAGCAAACACGCACACCATCATATCGGATGGATTGGATTTTTTTAAATGAAAAATTGATTACCATAGTGGAAAAAACAAATTAGTCCATATTGTATTGATTGAGTAAACTCTTTTTTTTACAAAAATATTTATTATGGTAAACGAAAAAAAAATGTAAACATTTTTTTTATTTGCTTTTTAAATATTTTTTTATTGAAAATGTTCTGCTGTCAGAAAATGTTCATAATTTTTGATCTTTTAACCAAAAAAAATGAACAACAGCAACAGCGAATATGATAAAAATCCTAATGGAACAAGTTGATTTTGTATATCGATTTCATTGATGATGTAATCGGCATTAATTGATTTAATAAATTTCAACATTCGAAAATGGTTGAAATTGTTCGCAAAATGAATTGGCCAGAATTCAATTGAAAAAAAAAGTTTTTTCTTAAAAAAACCTGAATTTATTAATAAATAACAAGAAAAAAAATGTTCACATTAATATAATTTATAAGAAATAACATGATAGAATCAAAAACTGAATTTGAAAAACAATTTTTGTTGTTGTTGTTGTTGAAACATACAATCGAGACATAAGGAAATTTTTTTTTGAATTTACAATTTTACAAATTCATAAATCAAACTTGTGTTGTTGTTGTGTGAAAGAAATTCATTTTTTTTTTTTTTTTTTGAACAGTGACGAACGGGTTGAAAAGAATTTTTTTTTTAGAAAATTTTCTGAATGAATTTTTTTTTTTTGTTTTTACAATTTTACAAATTCATAAATCAAACTTGTGTTGTTTTTGTGTGAAAGAAATTCATTTTTTTTTTTTTTTGTTGAACAGTGACGAACGGGTTGAAAAGAATTTTATTCTTAGAAAATATTCTGAATGAATTATTTTTGTTTGTTTGTTTGTTTGTTCATCGATTGAAAGATTTACAGTTCATTATTTTAAATGTGTATATGATTCATCGATTTACAATTGATAATGATGTTGATGAAAAATTGACTTAACAATAGAAAAAAAATTTCAAACCATGTCAATCAATCGATGATTAATGAGTGTTGATTCTTTTTTGTTTGATTTAATTTGTTGCTGATTTAGCTAATTTGATTGTTGATTTTGTTGTTGGTGATGATCGTTTAACCCTTTCTCCAATAATTTATATTGTTTTTCTATGGCCAAAAAGAAAAATCATGTTTGGTGTTCCAGACGATTGGGATGATTGTTTTAATTTTTCCATTATTTCCATTCCAAATGAATCGACAATATTGATGATCATATAGTGATGAAAACAAAACAAAAGAAACAAAAATGAATATGTAGCAAAAAAAAAAGAAAAAAGAAATTATTATTAATTCAGTCATATAAAAAGAAAAAAAAGAGAAAGAATGAAAGAAACATGATTTTCATATTCAAAATGAATTACATAATGTTTATATTTAATTCTCACATAATAATCTCACCAACAAATTACATTTACAAATCCTTTTTTCGGTTCATCATAAACATCATTCATTCATTCATTTTTCCATTTCAATTTGTTTGTTTGCTTGTTTCGCATAAAACACATTCGAATGCCGCAAATAGCGAATACAAATCATTTTGTTTTCTCTCAATTATGTCTTTATGTGTTTACCATACGAAAGTTTGTCTACGTGTTTTGCTAAACGAAATGAAAAAAATCTAATTAATTATGAAAGTGAGAGAAAATGAACAATGTTGTGTTCAAGGAATTTGTTTTTTTTTGTTTTGATTCAACAAATGCGAACCAATAAAAAAACAAAAAACAAATTAATCTTGTTGGACATAGAATCATCATATGGATGGACACTATGTTCATAACATTCTTTAGCTGATGAATTTTTTTTTCAATCATTCAGGTCATATTGATATAATTGAAAATCGGTAAAAAGTAAAAGAGAGAAAGAAACATGCAAAAACAACACGTACGACCGACAATCATTCAGATTAGATTAGAATCAAAGATATTAATTGTTTTTTATTTGCCATCATCATCATGCTGGAAAACTCGACAAACAGACAAACGATGATGATGATGACATTTTGGAGTAAAAAAAAAAGTTTTAAAAAATCTAAAGTCCATTAGCATTTAATGATAGGCTAATGACATGCTTCAAGAAGAAGAATATTCCCGAAAATTTAAATCAATGAATTGCAAAATGAATTCAAATGCCTGTTATATGAAAATATGATCATCAATCAATTTTGGGCAATATGCGAAACGAAAAACCAAAACGTAATCGGTTTCGTTTATTTATTTTTGTTTATCGTGGTGAAACGAAAACCGAAAAAAAAATTATCCGGCTAATAACTTTGTTTCGTCTTTGCGATATCATCAACACCACAACACAAATGAAGATGACGATGACATCGTCGTCGTCGTCGTCTAAACTCATCATTCACTTATATTTGGGGCGTACAGAATATATTAGAATGTTTTCGACATGCCATGTAAGGTTTTTTTTCTCTCTCTCACACACACATCTAACACTTTGTTTTCCCGTTAATTCATTCGAAAAACAAAACAAAACATCGAAACAAGATTATCAAAGTGTATAAATTTAATGTATAACCATCGACGACCATGCCAATAACTATGTCAAATGAACAAAACAAAAAAAAACTTTACGATTCTTTGGCTGCACTAAAAAAAACTATGCGAATGTAATCAAAAAATCATTGAAAATCAAGATATTTCCATGGATATAAATATGAATGCAAAGTGAGAGAAAGAAAACAGAAAATAAAAATAAATTCAAACTTATTCATTCTATGCCATGTTTGTTACTATGATCAACATCAAAGATTCGTCACCTCAGCCGTCTTTAGAGAATATTCTCTCTTTTTTTACTACTTTAATATAACCTCCCAAACATTATTGCTGCCCTAAGCCCTTGCTTGTTCTATTCGTTATATGTGTTTTTACACGAATAACTTTTTCATCATTCAAAGTTTTAGTTTAGTGTAGAAAAATCCCCTTTTTTTCCAAGTCTGATTCTAAGTTTATATTTTCATTTTAAAAATAGATAACTGTTTTTAGTGGGTAATGAGGAGGTGAGAAACAAAACAAAAAAAAGACTTTAAATTCATATCATTTTCAATCTATCTATCTTCTTCATTCACTTTAGTATCAATTACACATTGGTTATATGATGATGTGAACTTTGAGTTGACCCAACCAACATCATAAGTGAACCATTATCAATCACAATTCAATGGATAAATTTTTTAAAAGAATTAAGAAATATATTAAAAGGCAATAATGATGGAAGAAAATAAAAGCCGATTTCTTCTTATTCGATTCAAAAATCTTTCCAATGGTTATTTTGCTTAAATAATTTTTCATTTTACATGTCATCACGTATAAAGTATGAAACATTTTCACACATTCTCTTTTTGCAATACACGATTAGTCATATTAAAAAAAATAATAAATGTTGATCCAAATGATTCGGCCGAATAACCAACCAACCAACACACACCAACAAGGCGTGTGGGTGTTGAATGTTGTGTGTATTTTCTATGTTATTAATAAGAATATTCTCATTCATCATTGCTATATTTTAGAATTGAGGATATTTTTAGTCAAAAAACGAAACAAATAAAATAAAATTTAAATTTTCCATTTAGCTTTCCATATATATTCAACTAATAATAATGTTGCTGTTTTTTTAAAGATGCTAATTTTGAGGCCGCCACCGCAGCCGTATTTGTCCCCTCTCTTAATCTTTTACACATTTGTTGTTGTTTTTTTGGAAAACTTTTTCATTCATTCATTCAAATCCTTGTATGCTATGAACGAAAGATGATTCTATGTGATGTTCAAAAGATGATAATTCCTGATGATGAAGGCGATATCATTTATAAATGATGTTAATGTTGATCATGATGATGATGACGAGGTTATATGGAAAAATCCAAAAAAGCAAAAAAGTTTTCCATACGAAAGAATAATTTTTCAAGAATTAATTTTCTTTTAAGGCGCGTGTGAATGTTCACACAAGGAAGAGAGTAATATGTAAATTTTCTGTAAAATGTAAAAATATTAAAAGATTGATTCGCTTCAGTCGAATTTTGTTATTTTTCACAGAATTGATTGATCAAAATATATCGGTTCGGTGTGAACAAAAAACATACCTAATCGTTTGGAATAGGCATCGATAGCATAGGCCATCGTTTCTAATCGTGTAACTTTACGATCTAATTTATCAATTATCTCTAATTTTGGTAATAGTTGTTGATAACGATTATTAAGATCACGATTTTCTTCTTGTATTTGTTGAGCAATCTGTGTCATTCCTTGAAATTTTTCCATTGTACAATTGTTCATCGTTTCCAATAGTTTATAATCTTCTAATGTCACTATTTTGAAGAAAAAAAAAACAAAAGACAAATTAAAAAAACAAAAACAAAATGAAATTTAGTTCGAGTTTACAATGAAGCAACAACATCCATGTGCAATACATAGATTTCATTTTGTCGATGAAATTAGAACACTGACAAATTCAAATGGGAAAAAAATATGCTTACATTCAATTTCGGATGTAATATAATTTTTAATATTTTTAAACAATTCTTCGCTACAATTAATTAGCTGTTTTTTGGAATCATATAACGGTAATGTTGTTGCTTCAATGCCAACATCGATAGGTAATTGCTGATCATTGACATTTGTTTCATTTGTTGGTTGTTCTTGTTGTTGTTGATTCATCATTAAACAATAAAACAAACGATATGAATCATCAAAAGAATCTGGGACACCAAAATTTGGCAACAAAAATCAAATTGAAAATCCACCCCAAATTCGTGTGTGATGATAAAATGTAAACAAAACAAAACAAAAAAACCGAACAATATGATCCGCGGACTGAAAATCAATTCAACAAACGCGCCATCTTTTATCGATTGATAAAAACAGTTTCGAACGAATTCTGATTCTGTTTTTTTGTTGCTTAAAATTTCAACAAAAAAAAAATGTATAAAATTTATTCAAAAGCTTTGAATGATGTGGAATCAATTTTTTCAATCACTTTGAATATTGGATATGAAAGTGAATTATGTAATCTTCGATTCGTTTTTGTTTCATGAAGATCACCAACATAATAACCATTATGTAAATTTTGTTCAATACCTAAACTGTCACCAACATTGAATTGATGTTGTTTATTGATACTGATATTTGGATCATTATTATGAACGTCAATATTATGATTGGCCATTATCGATTCCATTCGATGAGAAATCTAAATGCAAATAAAATATAAAGTAAAAAAACAAAACAAAAAAGCTTTTTAACAATGTAGAAAAAAAATACGGAAGAAAATCGTTCGAATAGAATCAAAAAATCAACTGTCATTGAAATATATAGAATGTTCATCATTACCTGACCACCAAAATAATAAACATCATCAAGTGAATAAAAATGTGTTGACATATCACGACCATTTGTTCGTTGTACTTGCATTAATTCATATGCTAAACGACAAACTTGTGAACTAAATGTACAGACTAGATAATCCGTATAGCTTAATGATAATACATCGATAATAAAACCTTCAAATGATTCTAATGAAAAACGATTATTTACGGATGCAGATTTTGTTATTTTTGAATCACCTAAAAAACGATAACCTTTTCGTATATATTCGGGAACTTCTTTTTGCCAAACATTAATATCATCGGTAGCTAGATACACTTTACGTTCACGTTTTTCCATTTTTTTCCCAGTTATAGCATCTTGTACATCGATACGATCATAAATTCTTTGAACAATTTTCATATAATCACCTAATGAATGATATTTACCTTCCCAACGTAATTTATCTGTACGACGAACATGTATTCCAATAATTATATCATCATCATTTGTACGGAATTTAATTCGATTTTGATATTGTCGAAATTTTTGTTCAAATTCATTATTCATACGTAATATATAACTTAAAATTGAACCTAAAAATACAACAAATGGAAATCGAGTTATTTGTTCCAATTTTGTACGTAATTGTTCGGGTATAGCCAATGGACGAAACTTTGCCTTTTTATCCAAATTTTCAATTATTGGTAAATAGATGGATTCAATCTTGTCATCATCATCATCCTCGTTACTTTTTTGTTTAGAAATTGTTTCGAATTTCTGATTGATTACTATATTAATGTCTACTGCATTCGACAACCAAGGTTTTTCTTCATCTGGTAATTCACTAACATCACAAATTGAATTGATCGATTTGAATAGTTGTTGATGATGATCATAGAAATTAAATGGTGATTTAAGTTTGCTTGAAATAAAATGTCCAAAAATTCCATTTGTATCAGATAGAATTAATGTTCTATTTAATGCTAATGCAGCAATCAAACAATAGGCTATATGATGTATTGAACAACCGAATCCACAAACTTTATATGAATCACATATTAGTTTGTTTATCGATTTACAGTCGTTTGTTGTTGTTTTCTCATGTGGCAATTGAATTTTCTTGTTTTTATTATCGATATTGTTATTTTGTTTGATTTCATCAAAAGATTTATTATTATTATTGTTGTTGTTATTACTGTTATTGACATCCATTTTCATCAACAAATATTTTTTAGGATTTTGTAATTGATCAATTTTGTTCCAGATTAAATCTTTCAATTTATTTTGTTGTTGTTGTTGCCAATATAAACGTTTATTACCATCACCATCATGATCATGATCAAAATTATCCAATCGTTCAATCAACGCATACATCATATGATACCAATCGTTTATAAAAATTTTTTCCTTATTTATTCTGATACTTTTATCATAATAATTTAATACTGATGATGACTGTTTTTGATCGAAATTCTTCTTCTGTTGTTGCTGCTTTTGTTGTTGTTGTTGTTCAAAATAATCATAAAAAACATCTAGATTAGTTTTCAAATAACTTGAAATCTGTACATAATTTGATAATCGAGATAAATGTTGACCAGTAGTGTAATCGAGATTATTATCCGATTTTAAATGTTGTTTAAATTTGCTTTGCTGTTGTTGTTCTAACATTAATAATGATTTCGATAAATGTTGTTCATCAATAATACGACAAAATGATGTTATTGTAATATAATATACAATTGTACACATTAATAGATTTAGAAAAATTATGGCCATATAAAAACGATGACCACCATATTGATTATTATTATTATTATTTCTTAAATATCGATCCATAATCAAAATGCAATGGATTTTTTGCTTTTGTTTGTTTGTTTTTGTCTATTTATTCATATAATCTTTTTTAATTTACATTGCAACAAGGTTGTAAAAGTTTTCAATCATATTTTTTTTCAATTAGTTTCGAACTTTTCGAAGATTTTCTTTAAAAGATTCGAGAACTTTGAGAAATAAAAATCCTGAATCTAAAACAAAAAAAAATCGTATAACATTACAACATTCATTAAAAAACATTCGAAAACATTTATGTCAATAACTGACTTAACAAAAAACGACAAAAAAACTGAGCGAGGGGCAAGTGAATCGGAAACAGGAATTCAGGAACAGAAAATTGATTATGCTAAGAAATAAACTTTTTGTTTTTGTTGTTGTTGTTGATAGAAATACAATAACAATAATGACAACCACACTTGACAATAAACAGCAGCAGCAAAAAAAACGACAAAAACAACCAAAATGAAAATAAAAAAAAACAAACAAACAAAAAACCAATTGAATTAAATTGAAATTGGATTATAAGTTTAGCTTTATAGTTTTGTTGGTTTTACCAATTGAAATTGTATTTATAATGAAAAAAAAGTTAAAGTTTTCTTTACAGACTGTTTGAAAAACAAAACCATCAACAAGGTAGAATAATGATGATGATTATGATGAAACGAACACTGTCAATATATTTTAATAATATTTTAATAATTTGTTTTTTCTGTGCATTGAAATTTATTAGTGCAAAACACTTAATGCCACGAATACATAATCCAATGACATTTTCCTGTAATGATCCAACTAAAAAATAAATAAATCTCTAAATCAAAATCATAGTGTGAATATATCAATCCTGTTTTAAAATGCTTTTTGCTGTTCACCCGAATCGACTTTTACACACAAATATATTGATCACATATTTTCGATTCGAATAAAGCTATTGTCATTGAAACAATATTGGTGACGAAAAAAAAGACAAATATTTGATGGCCTTTTTTTTCTATCTTTTCAATGTATCATAATAACAACAACCAAAACGGATATCGAATGATCATCGTTTTATTTTCTCTTCTTTTGGCTAAGGATTGATTGTTGTATGTTTTTGTTGTTGTTGTTGTTCAATTTTCAATGTTTGCTTTGATCATTCTTTGGGATAAAATCATTTGACAATGTTTTCGTGTGTGTGTGTTATGTATGTATGTGGATGTTTCTGTTTGTGTGTGTTGATGCGATTTATTATTTTTTACAATGTCAACACATCGATGACGATGATGATAATCGATGTGAAAAAATAAATTCTGACAAATGTGATGTTAGTTTGTTTTTTCAATCTTTCCTTTTTTTTTCATTTCCTTATGATTAAATGGATGATCAAGTACACACACATATACGGGGTTAACAACATAAAATTATTCGGATTTTTTTCTTTTTCACTCTTTTTTCTCACTCATCCCCCCCATTCAATCAGAATTTGATGGAATTTTTCTTTTTGCATGCAAACAAGCTTAAATGTGCATACACACACACAGGGTTTACATAAAAACTTTTCAGATAACAAACAAGACGGAAAAACAAAACAAAAAAAAAATATTCTTCAGGAAGAAAAAAATTACTGAATCAAAAAAAAATTCTATAAAACGTTGAATGAATGAATGGATGAACGAATCAATTGAATTTTTTTTTGTCAATCAAAATGAACGAATTTTACTAAAAGAGAGATGATGCTAGAAGTGAATCAAACAAAAGTAAAAAAAGATAATGGGATTGAAATAAATTAAATTCATTGAATTTGACTTTATTTTTAAGTTTTCTTTTCTTTTCGCGAAAAAATCTTTAAGATCTTTACCACTTTGTTTTGATTCAAAAATGGAACAAAACTTTATTACATTCAATAACTGGATGATAATACGAAAAAAACGCAGTAATATTCATCAATATTTACTAGTGTTAGAATATTCTGTTGAATCAAGTCAGTCTTCGTCTTCTTTTTTCTCTTTTTTCATATTGTTATTTTTTTCATTCTCGTTGATTAACATTTGTTATATCCCCAAAAAAAAGAATACTTTGAAACTTTTTCATTCCTTCTTTTTTTTATTATTATCAGCATTATTATAATTGAAGCCAATTTTGTTTTTTTTCTGTTCGTTTGTTTGGTCAATTTCAATCTGATCAAGTCTTTCATATTCAATATTATCAATATTACCAACTAAAAATCGATAACAACAGAAAAAAGCTTTGAGTTTTTTTTCTGGTGGGATCGGGGGGAAGGAAGAATATAAAAAAAAAAGAAAAATACTAAAAACCTTATGTGTTGCAGGAAGAAAAAGATGGTAGAAAAAACTGTGAATATAAAAACTTAAAGAAGAATGTATAAAAAAAAGCCTAATCTCCTGGGTCAGGATGAAATGCATTTTCTTTCGATCTTTTTTCTCGATCTTTTCTTGAAGAAAGATAGTAAAATTCTGTGTCTCTTGCTGTTGTTGTTGTTGTTGTTTTGTTTCGGTTCTTCCATTGAATATCATATCGGTATATTTAATATTTATTGATAAAAGTATTTTTCCTACTATACCTTTTCCATCCAAATAGATTTTCCAATGAATTTGAATCATTCATTTACCGTTGTTTACGAAATAAATAACCAAAACTTTTTTTGAGATTTATTCATATGGTCCAAGGTTTTTTCCGTTTCAACAACAACAACAACGAAAAAGGCTTGGATACTTTTAGGGTATTATATTTTGAATGTGAAAATTCGAAAAGGTGGGAAGAATGAATGGAAAAAATCCACCAGAAAAATGTTGAAATTTATAGACAAAGATACGAATATAAGATGCGTTTATATTCCATAATTCTGGAACGAACTTTTTTGGTTTTCAAACGTATCTTTTCTATATAAAAATTGAATAGAATATATTGACCTGATATGTATCTAGCTAGCTATATTTTCTGTTACACACAATTCTGAGTCGATCCATTTTTATCATGTTTCTATGAATCTACTTTTGAATAGAAGCTTTCCTTCTATATATACAAGATACCCACATATGTAGGCAACTTTCATAGATTTCATAGAAGAAGAAATGAAACATATAAAAACATTTGGAACCAAAATCCAGTTATGGAACAAACATCATTTTGTGTTGAAAACATTCAGTTCAGTGTTTTTATTCATTCACATTCTGTCAGAAAACCAGATACATTCAGAATTGGTGAACACACACACAAACACACCGTGTTTGAATTGAATAACATCATTTTAAAAACATTGAATTTGAAAAAAAAAAGTTTTTCTTTTTTAAGTAACAGAAAAAGAGATAAAATTTATTATTATTACTTTGACTGTTATCATTATCATCATTATTATTGTTGTCACATTTTTTTTTGGAAATTGTCATTACTGTTTTTACTGTGAATCTGGAACCTAGTGTTTCAGAATATTTGGTTAAAGTAAAAAAAAAAGTTTACATCAAAACAAAAACTTGACAATTGGCAACCGAGATTCGTGAAATCATTTTTGGTGACTAATCTAATTCATCATCAGTTTTTCCTACTTCTTTTTCTGGGTTTTTTTTTGTTTTGTTTTGTAAACCAGAAAAAGAAAAACGATGACAATTTGTTTTCATCATCCACTCGATCATATTTCTGTCAAAAAAAAAACTTCATCACGAATTTCCTTACTTTATTAACTTTATTTATACAGTGTTTGTCGAGCTTTTCCCTGTTATTCAACATAAAATTCAAGTTCTGCAAAAAAAAAATTTAGGTGTTCATTTCAAATGAATTTTTCACACTTTTGGTTGAGTTTTTCAAAACGGTGAAATAAATAAAAAAATCAAATTCAATTTTGATCAACTTTATAAACGGTAAAACAGGTCGATATAATGAAAAAAAAACAACAACCATGACGGTAAGTCGCGATGCACAACATTTATCATTCAAAGAAAAATTCATTCCAGCGGAAAAGATTATAATTTTTTTTTCTATAGAAAATTTAATTTTCAACGAATCGAAAAAAGAAAATTTTTTCGCTTGGGTCAATTTCCGTCGTGCTGTTTTTTCATTTTGCAAATATTTTTCAATTTTTTCACTTTCACATTCGAACAAACAGTACCAGTTTGGGTGTCTTTTTCTTTTGCCATTTTCACCAAAAATCATTATCATTTTTCATCATTATAATCATTATGATGGTGATATCAACATGATTATACTAACCGTACACGTTTTTACATTTCCTTGACTTTTTTTTCAATATCACACACACACACATAGGGAGACAAAATATAAATGAATCTTGTACATGTTTGGATAGAATTTCGTTGTTGTTGTTGTTGTTTTGCGTTTCAATTATCACCTGACATTTTTCATTATATGTTTCAACGGCGACAACCGAA